TAATAATAAAAAGAAACAATACAATCACTATAAGTCTTCCGTTGTGAACGGAAGACTTAACTAGACTCTTGTTGCCATGGCAACAAAAAGGTCTTCCGTTCCTATATGATATCGTTTGCATTGTTTTTTTTTCTGTAGAGAAACGTGTACAGTATGTAATAATTAAGTTGTAAAGAATCTAAAATTTGTCCTTTCGGTACTTGTCATCCATTGATTTTTACTGCAAAAATTAATGTATCTGTTGTCCTTATATATGAAATTGTATGCATATTTTTTCATTAGTAGAAGCATATCTAAACTGTTTTTAAATTTAAAAGTTAAATGGGGGGGGGGGGGTATCTAGAAAACAACCTGTCAGTTCTTACAGTACTTTGATTTTCACTGCTAAAATGAAAGTATCCACCGTACTTATATATAAACATGAGAAATTATAAAACATGTAGTGTATGAATTGAATTTTGCATTTAGAGAAACATCTTTATATAAGTCAAAGTAAAAAACAATACTAAATATCCTTTCAGTCCTTACGGTACTTTGATTTTTATTGGCTAATGAAAATAGCTTCCATAGATAACTTATTGTGTGCATTGATTTTTATGTATAGAAAAACATGCTTGTTTATACTATACTGTAGTAAGAAAAAAAGTGGGTATCTAAAACAGTCCTCTCAGTACTTCAGGTACTTTGATATTTACTGCAATTAAATGTGGTCTTCATTCTGATATATGATACTGTATGTATTGAATTTTGTATGCAGAGAAACATGTAAACATAACCTTCATGTAAGTTAAAGTAAGAAATGCCCTCTCAGTACTTTCAGTACTTTGATTTTTTTAAGCAAACCGAAAATAGCTGAAATCTACAAAATGGGTGATCTGATTTCAAAACAAATCAAATATTTGGCACTTATGGACGTATCTCTATTATGCCTAAAAATATCTTGAAAAAATATTTAAAAACAAAAAAGTCGAAAATTAACTGAAACACAAATTCAGTTCCGGTTTGGACAGGAAGTTCCAGACACAAACAAAAATCACGTAGAAACAAAAAGAATGTGATGATCTATTATTTCTGTAAATTTCACATCTAAACCTCAAACCCCTTCTGAGAAAAACACCGGACAAAAGTGCATTTTAAAATTTGAAATTCGGTCAAAACTTCGGACCGGAAGTGAATTTTTCAAAAAACGGAATTTAATATAAACTTCACATATCAACCAATTATCCTGTAAAAAATTGTGAAAATCTATCGAAACATCTCTGAGTAATCGCGCTCACAAAATTTGGGAGGAATAATAATAATAATAATAAAAAGAAACAATACAAACACTATAGGTCTTCCGTTGTGAACGGAAGACCTAAAAAGAAACAATACAATCACTATAAGTCTTCCGTTGTGAACGGAAGACTTAAAAAGAAACAATACAATCACTATAAGTCTTCCGTTGTGAACGGAAGACTTAATAATAATAAAAAGAAACAATACAATCACTATAAGTCTTCCGTTGTGAACGGAAGACTTAAAAAGAAACAATACAATCACTATAAGTCTTCCGTTGTGAACGGAAGACTTAATAATAAAAAGAAACAATACAATCACTATAAGTCTTCCGTTGTGAACGGAAGACTTAAAAAGAAACAATACAATCACTATAAGTCTTCCGTTGTGAACAGAAGACTTAATAAAAAGAAACAATACAATCACTATAAGTCTTCCGTTGTGAACGGAAGACTTAAAAAGAAACAATACAATCACTATAAGTCTTCCGTTGTGAACGGAAGACTTAATAATAATAAAAAGAAACAATACAATCACTATAAGTCTTCCGTTGTGAACGGAAGACTTAAAAAGAAACAATACAATCACTATAGGTCTTCCGTTGTGAACGGAAGACCTAATAAAAAGAAACAATACAATCACTATAAGTCTTCCGTTGTGAACGGAAGACTTAATAATAATAACTAGAAACTCATTGCGAGCAATAAGAGGTCTTCCGTCCAATTCTAAAAATAAAAACAAAACTTCAAGCTGAAAAAAGTGATAAAAGAAATTCAGACACTCTGGAGATTCAAACTTTGTCCTCAGCATGAAAATCCAACGTGCTAACCATTAACCATTCACTTTTTTGCATCACTTCCTGTCACGACCGGAAGTAACGGCGACACACAATTTTCAAACGATGCAAATAAACTGATGACGGACTATCAGTCCTGAAAGTTTCAGACTTCAGTCGTTTATTGTTGCCGAGCAATTGTGAGAACAAATTCTAATTTTAAGGACAGGAAAACACGCGACAGGAAGTGAAGTTTGTAAAAAAAAAATCTCTGACGTGTCTCTAGACATTTGCAGTATCTACAACATGTATTAAAACATTTCAATACTTTTTCTATAAGCGATATTTATGAGAAAGTTAAATATCGAAATAACGTATTTTATCTTTTAAAACCGGAAGTTGACATTTTTGTTTCCAGTGGAGTCTAACATATTTCAAAACAGCGAA